GGCGCCGGGGGGTGGCCCGCCAGTTCTAGGGACTTGTCCTGGCGCTGTCTCTTGCACTTGTAGCGCCGGTTCTGGAACCAGATCTTGACCTGCGTGGGCGTGAGCTGCAGCGCGCTGGCCAGGTGCTCGCGCTCGGGCGCCGACACGTACCGCTGCTGCTTGAAGCGCCGCTCCAGCGCCAGCACCTGCGCCTGCGAGAAGAGCACGCGGGGCTTCCGCCGCTGGCGCGCCTTGGGCTGCTCGGGGCCGGTCCCGCGCGCGCCGCTGCCGGGGTCGCCGACGCCGAGCTCTGGCCCCCTGGTCCCGCCGCGGAGGGGCGAGGCTGCGCTGAGGCCCGGCTCTAAAAGCACAGGAAGGAACAGCGTCAGCGCCCAGCCTCTGGCTCCCCGAAGCAATTACATGGTTTCCAAGAGACGCCCCTCTCCCCTGGCAGCCTTCACTCCGCGTCCCCTTCCGTCCCCTCTGCCGACCCCTCACCCCTGTCCCTGGACGGTCTGAAGGCTCCTTTCCCCCCACGCTCTGCCGCTGTTGTATCTGCAGGCACATACGTAAATGCTGCCACTCCAGGGTCCCCGGTGGACAGCCTTGTCCCAAAAGGTAGTTGATCAAGAATCTAAGACCACTTCATTTTCTTCTTAGAAGGTCTGTGGGTGGGTGGTGGGGTAGGGGGCGATTCGCTGTGGTTCGATTCTAGCGTGGTGGTGTTTGGGGAAGCTTTTGCCTCGAGGGACCAAGTGTGAGTGTGGGGGCCTGTTAGGTGGAGATTGACTTTGGACCGCCCTGGGTGGAAAGGGGGGGGGCAGAGAAAGGGAGAGAGAGAGAGAGAGAGATGATAGAGATAGAGTTAGGGACAGAGCGGAAACTTGGTGACGCGCTTGCCAGTGGGTTCCTGTCGGCCTGGTTATCCGTGGTGGTCCGGGCCGCATCGCAGGTTATTCAGATCCAAGTCAGGGGCGGGTGCCCCGAGAGTCTCCGACCTTCACCCCACCCTTGCCCACACCCTTGTCTTTTTGGTCATCAAGTGCTCCACCGGCACCAGGGACCCGTCCCATCTTTCTTGGATGTGATGCTCTTTAAGCCAAATGAGCGAAATAGAATAAAACTGAACAAAATATTTCGGTTTCCTGATTCTTGGCTTGGAAACTGAGGTTCTCTTGGAGGAATATACAAAGTTTAGACCCACATTTGGCTTTTTAAAAAGCGACCTCTTTCTCCTTTGGGGTGTCTTTGGCAAGCAGGTGGCGTTGGTTTCGCCCTGCCTTCCTCTTCCCAGGATTGGTGCCCTCGCGGATCACCCGGACTGAGGCGGCTGTGCCTGAAGCACGCAGAGATACAGCCTCTCCTCCCCTTCTCCCCACCTCTCTTCTGTCTTGGCTAAGCTCTGTTTTAACTCAAGGGTAGGTAGAGAGGAAACGCCGAGTTTTCATGGAAAATCACGCCAGGAGAAAACCAGGAATGCCGAGGGGCTGCGAGTTCTGGGTGAGGTAGAGCAGAACTCGCCTGATTAGGGAAGGTGAGGGTTGGAACCCGACTCCAAACCCCCACCCCTGTTGACACAGTCTTCTGGAGGAGGTGATGGGGCTGTTTGATAGCTGAAGTCTGTGGAAATAAAAACTTTCTTCGGCCTTCCTTCAGCTTGTGCTCAGAGAAACTGGGGACATCTCGCAAAGAGGGAAAATATTGATGGGGATTTTAATCTTAGCAAATTGAAAAGTAACAACTGACCTTAAGCAACTCTTTGGAACAAGCAGGATCCCATTTCACAGTCACTGACCACACAGGCCAAGGGGCTGCGTGACACCCTGGTGCATGCCAGCAGCAAGCGCCCTTGGTCTGCAGCCCCTCTTGCCCTGGTCTCTGAAAGCAAGGTGGTCTGGGAACAGGCGAGGTACGCAGACTCCACCAGGAACGTTCGATCATTGCAGCGGCCCTGGGCTTAGTCCCTGGAGCTGGGCGCAGGCCCCTCCTCTGAGTTAGTCCACGGCAGCTTCATAAGAGATGCTGCTTAGGGGTTCCCCGGCTGAAGAGAAAGCGGTGCGCGTGCCTTCGGCTGCTGGGTAACAGCTGTGGTCCGAGTACCACGATCCTTTCTCAACAAAGCCAGAGTGAGCGAGGAGTTGGCTGAGCAGCTCGGAGGGAATTAGTGTTTATAGAGTCTGCAGAAACCCACAGGCCTCTCTGAGAACACACAGCAAAGGTTAATGTTCTCCAGGTTCCTGGAGTGGGTGAGTAACCAGGCCACTAGTCAACAAACAACTCTGAACTAGTCCCTTTACTTATTCGTTTGAGTCTTGGATGGATGGGCCGTGGCACGGCCTGGCGGAAGAGGCCCGACACGCCAGGCCTGGCCGGGCGGACCCCAGATGCGCACGGAGGCTGCAGATGGAGGCGCAGAGAGAAGAGTGGCTTCTTCATCCCTTGGAATGTGGACACTTTTCTGCGGAAGCTTCCCAGGTCTCAGGGGCCAAGGCAACACAATTCAATGCCCGCTCCTTCCCTTCCTGCGGCTAGGCGCAGGTGCCAGGGCCTGGCTTCCCTGCGCACGACGTGGCACTTTCGGAGACCAGGCACGGAGACCCCTGGAGTCGTCTCCCAGAGCTTCGAAACCTGGAGCTGCCCTTACCCCGCTCCCAGACGCGGAGGAGCACCCGCCAGCGCCCGCAGGGCCGTTCAGGCCTAGGGACGCAGACACGACCTGATCTGGTCGCCACCTCTCTTTGTCCAGAGGAGGAACCTGGGCGGAGGATGACTGGGCTGGCCAGGCCACTCAGCAAGCCCCAAGCTGCGGCTTGCCCCAGAGCCGGCCGACTTTCCACTCCCAAAGCGCTCGGCTGCTTTTGATGGCTGCACTTGGGGCAGACGCTTTAGGGTACAGAGACGCGGAAATGGCAGGGGAGACCCGTGGTGTTGGAGCAGAGCTAAGACACCTAGAGGGTTTCGCTGTGAGAAGGGGAAGCTGGAGTTTCTGGGAAGTGTGGCTGTGACTGGGGGTGATGCGCTTGTGCGAAGCAGAGGGCAGGCTATGGAAATAATGAACCCCCTACGATTCAGGGGGCGCAGGAAGCACACCGGGTGTCTGAAGGGGATGGTAGAGGGGGCTGAGAGATCTGCCTTTTGGAATTCTCAAACAAGGGGAAATAGAAGCCCTCGGAGCGGGAAAGACCAGGAGATGCGCGTTAGCCCCACGCGCCAACTGGTCATGACCAACCCCACAGCCAGGATCCCCCTGTAGAAGCCGAGACCTGAGCGCGCGTACTTACGTGGCTCCTCCACGCGTTCTGAGTCCATCTCTGCGAGCGTCTCGGGGGGACCACCAGGACACCCCGACTCGTCGGTTCTGTCGCTGTTTCCGCCGCGGGCGCTGCAGGTGCTGTGAACCTCTGACTTTCGCGGTTCTGGGACCGGTCGCTGGCACTGAAAGCTTTCAGGGCTCCCCGGTGCCTCCTGGAGTTGCAAGAATTCGGGATCTATCTGCTCTGGCTCCAGCCTCAGGATATCATTGACCGAGAAGGGGGTGGAGGTGACAGGGTTCAGCGGCATCCCGAAGGCGGAGGAGGCGGGGCTGGGGTGTCCCCGGTCACCCTCTGGGTGTCGCCCTGAGCTTCCCCTCTTGTCTCTGCAAGCACAGCGGGCAGACGCCCAGTGTCCTGTACTGCGCCTTCCCCTGGGCCATCCCTGCCGGCCGGGTGACCGAGGCCGAGATCGCTGACCCTCATTGGTTCCGGCAGGAACCACGTGCTAATCTGTACCTTCCTCCCCGGGAGCTTTCTTCCCGCGCCCTTCGAATTCCTCTCCACCCCCCAGCCACCTTCCGGAAAGGTTTGGTTTGTGTCGACGGTTCTCAAAAGCCAGGAAAATGGGAGAGGGTGCTGCGCGCGGCTCGTATCTGGGTGAATACGGTAATAGAGGGAGCCGCAGAGGTCAGCCCCGTCCACGGGGCTCTCCTAGGGGACGTGAGGGGATGGGGGGTGGAACCCTTGCTCTGCAACCCGAGCCCGTCCTTCCGGCCCGGCCTTTGCTCAAGTCTCCACTCACGTGGCCGAGGAAAACTGAGGCGGAGACGGCTGGGCACCCGCGGGATTGGAGGAGCATGCTGGAGTATTAAGTGGGCGCAGGGTGGGGTCCCCCCGCGGCGGGGAGCTCGGTTCTGGGAGCAGAGGCTGGGCGCCGGAGGAGCGAGTCTTGACCCGTCTACGCCTAGCCTCAGCCGGAAACTTCTCGCTTTGAGCAGAGTCTGGGTCTGGGGAACCCAGATGGCCTCTTCGTAGGCGGAGCATCTCAGCTACGGTCGCCAAGACTTGGCAAGGGAGCTATATTGGGGGAGCCCCCTGGCCTCTTGGCGGGCTCCGCGAGTGAGTGGGGAGGAGGAAACGTACTAGCCCCAGGTCTCAAGGCCCCAGACAGGGGCTCCCTCGTTCCTTCTCTTCCTCCCCTTTAATCTCCCTAAAGTTGATTGTTTTCAGCGTTCCAACTTTCAGTGTGTCTGAACTCGGTGTCGTCCTTTCCCTCCTCACCCCCACCTCCAGCCCCGCCCCCAGGGGGGTGGGAAGCCCTGGGGAGCATTAGATTTTCAGAAAAACTCCTCTTGGACGCAGCTGGCAACAAGTGGAAGGAGACAGGGTGTGCAGTGGTTGGGAACGGGAAGGTGGAGTCAACACGTCTATGTCTAGCCCTTGCTCTTGAACACAGCCGTGGGCTTGATTAAAGTATTTACCTCTCTAAACTAAGGCTTACTTTTAAAGCGGAGATAACAATAGGCTCATCGTAGGATGATTGTGAGAATTGAGATAATGTGTATGAAGCCATCAGTGAATGTCCACCGCTATCACTCATGCTACATTGGTTCAATTAAGAATACATGATTTAGCGTGAGCAGTCTCAGCAGACTCTAAGGAGTTTTAAAGTACCTTTTAATCAAAATGAGATCTAGAGTTCTTTTTTGGGATTTCAGATCAACTGTTTCTTAGGTAAGCCTTCCAAGAGAATTCAATGTTACAAGAACCGTCTGGGCTTTATTACTGCCTGAAATTTAGATAAGTTGAACTCGCGTCCCAGTCTAGTGGGCACAAAATTTTGGCACATTTGGTGGTTCAACCAAGTAATGCTTTCTTATACATCACATCATTTAATCTTTACATCAAAGCTACACTCCAGGTGTTTCCAGTTTCCCTTCCTTCCTTCCTTCCTTCCTTCCTTCCTTCCTTCCTTCCTTCCTTCCTGTCTTTTTCAGTGATGAGTCACCATCAGAGAGGTTAAGCGATTCCTGAGGCAGGGCTGGCTGAAACTCCCAGAGACATCAACATCTTGCAATGACATTTATTTAAGTTTTTTTTTTCAGTGATAAAAGTCACCATGCACCCTTTGGGGGTGGGGGTGGGGTAGAAACAAGAGAAAGGTGAAAAGAAAACAAGATTCATCCGGAAATGACATTTAGCTCAGTTCCTTCTTTCCACTATCTTGGCATAGGGTATATGCGAGTTTGCGTATTTTAAATTTACATCATAAGCATGTCCAGCACTTCGCTAGAGTTTTCACAAATGTATTCAAAAATTACAATATTCAAAAATTACAAATTACAACCAGCGTGGTCCATGTTATGGATGGTCCATAATAGACTGTGTTTATAGTTTTAGATTATATCTGTTTTTGTCACTGTAAACAAAACTTCAGAGGATATCTTTGTGCTTTCAACCTTGTCAACATTTTGGGTTATTTCCTCAGGATAAATATGTAGGACAAATATTAATGAATCAAATCCCACGACTTCCTAGAAAAAAAGTTATCGTATTCTCCTCTCCGCAGCGGTGTAGGCAAACGTCTGATAGGCGGGTATTTACTACAAGCACCCTGACCTCCGAAAGTGGACGCATTTAGGACATTTTCATTAAGAGCCCTTTGAGCAGCCCTCCGCCCCCTTCCCCCCCTCCAGTAGCTCCGCTCAGTCCCCACTTTCCAAGCTGCGGCTCGAGGCGACCCGGGGTGAAGACGTCAAGCGCAAACCCGCGGTCAGCGCTTTATTCCACGCTGAAATTCTCCCCGTGGCCTATTGCGCTCGAGGAAGACCTAGAAAAAGGGCACCTTGGGATGGTCTTGGCATCCAAAGCCCTGAGTACAAATCGTGCTCTCGGGTTTGGCTTTGCTTTTTCTTCCTTGGTTTGTTGGAGAGTTGGGACGGGAAAAGGTTTTCTGACCCCTCGCGATTGGTGTAAACACCAGTCAGCTTGACGGAAGGGACGCTTTTGGCTCAGGCTCCCGCACACCGGGAGCAACCCTGAAGACAGGTGTGCCGATCGCTCTCGCCCCAACCCTGCGGGAGACAGGCTGTCCTGTCTCCTGGAGGGCGCCGTGCAGCCGGGAGGGAGCGTACTTCGCGGTACTGGCCTCAGCTTTCCGTGGTCTCCGCTTGCTGGGGTCTCGCTCTCTCCCCAAGTCACCTCCAGGACCCCCAGGACCTGAACTTTGCGGCAAACAGGCCGGGCCTGGGTGACACCCCTTCCTCCTCCTCTAGAGCTAGGGAGCCCTGGAAACCGCCCCGCCCCGAGGCAAGGTGGAACCGATAACTTTGGTCTTACTCTCGCCACATCAATTGCAACCCTAATAACTGGGACACGAGCGACCAGGCCAGGGTGGGTGGGTCATGGGGAGGGGCCAGGAGTAAGGCCGGCAGGGGTGGAGAGCAGAAAAGCTGGGGAGTTCTGAGGCTGTTAGGCAGAGCTGGGCACAGCCTAGACAGTGTGGTGCCAGGTGATGTGCTCCCTTGCTCAGGAGTGGAAACATCATCTCTCTCTCTCTTGTTTTATTTTAGAGAGAGAGCGGGAGGGAGAGCGAGGGATAGGAGCAGAGAGAGAGAGAATCTTAAATAGGCTCCATACTCAGCACAAGCCCTCCGGGAGGCTCGATCTCACAACCCTGGGATCATGACCCTGGCAGAAATCCAGTCTGCTGCTCAAGGGACTGAGCCACACAGGTACCCCACCATCTCTATTCTTAAAATGAGATGGAGCTGGTCATGCCAGGGGTGTGAGTGGCCTTAGTCCACTTAGGTCACACAATAAATAAAACCTCAAACCAAACTAGGTCCACCAATGCGTTTGAAACGCTTACCCTGGGCCAGCTCTGTCCAAGCGCTTAACATACTAAGGAAATGAAAGGCCTCAGCCTTTTATCTTACCCCACTCTTGCACAGGAGACAGACTTTTAAATTATTCCCAAGCCGTGTGATACCATCATACAGAATCTGCTCATGAAGTATATTGAACTTCTTCCCATTCACGGTTAAGGTTAACAAAGGTCTTCCCGCCTGTGCTGCACCCCCATCCGAATTTTCAGACTAAAACGAAGGGATTCCCTCTTTAAAACTCGATACACAACAAGCAACTCCCAATGAAGTCTGGTGCTGTGAGCCTTGGGCCAGGGAAGTCAACTAAGGTCTTTTACACTGTAGCAGGATCCCCATTAGGCTAGACTAGGGCTCTGGGTCTGTTGTCCTAGTGTATCTCCAGGGCCTAGAGCTAACAGCTACAATTTTATGGTGGAGTCTCTGTAAACATTTGTTGGATAAAGAAATCTGTCTTGTTTGCCTGGGGATGGTCCCTAGGATACCCTGGGGACTGGTCTAGAAGTGTTTGGTCCACCCAGGGCTGGGCAAACTCTGAACTGCCCACCATCTCACTTTCTGCTTTGCCACTCTTTCGGCGGGAGCCATTTTTTTTTTTTTCAACGTTTATTTATTTTTGGGACAGAGAGAGACAGAGCATGAACGGGGGGGAGGGGCAGAGAGAGGGGAGACATGAGGAATGGGGAAACAGGCTCAGGCTCAGGAGCCATCAGCCCAAACTGGCATGAGACTCGAACTCACGGACCCTTGAGATGTGACCTGGCCTGAGGGTCCAGGACCTTAACCATTGCGCCACACCCAGGCATGGCAGAGAACCATTTTTAAGTATTATGATATGGGTTTTGGTATGTGAAAACGATAACATAATTCTAAAAGTCAAAATCATGCACAAAGATATATTCAAAGACATGACCATGACACCTTTATCCTTTCTATTCTCATTCCCCATCCCCCACCCCCTACCTTCCCCAGTTCCTACACACTCCCAGTCTCATCACTTTATTCTTTTTGTGCTCCCCCCCCACACACATGACCAGATGCATGTATTTCTTTAAAAAAAAAAAATGTTTCCCCTTCCTTACCTGACAAGGTGGCATAATATGGGTAGTCCTTGTTGCTGTAAATCAGTGACATTTATTAAGATTTTTTGTATAGATATTATGCTTTGAATTCTATCCATGGGTGCTGTTGCTTTACAATACAGGATGTCCCTGTTGCAACAACAATGTCTGTGCACTTTCTACCTGCGTTTCCTTTGCTCAGAATAAGCTATTCCATGTCTACGATATAGTCAGGACACTGAAAATCTCTCACTATTCATGACTGTTGGCACAGATCTTTGGAACCTTATTTTCGCAGAATGCATGACTATGGTCTTAAAGCAAACCCTTTCAAAACATCTCACTGATTTTTTTCGTTTGTT